ACCGCTGGCAAAGCGGCAGTAGCTGCAGCAAGCGGTGCCGCGGGCAGTTATATGCAGCCCTGTATGTGTTGTATAAATGATGATCAACATGTAACAATTATATTCAATCAACTGCTAAATTTATTTAGACAGCAACAACAAACAGAATGAAATTGAAAAAAAAATCAATCAACACACTCATGTGCCAGTAATTTAATCTTTCTCACAACAGACAGCATTAACCCGGAGGTCCCGCTGGTCAACACAGGCATGTAAAAATAATTCCATGTCACGTGTTTCCTGTGGAGCTCCACTTTACGCCCCTTAAAATCACGTATTTCCTGTGGAGGTGACGTATTTCCGGTGGAGCTCCACTCTACAGGCGTCTGCAGCTGGACACTCTTGGAGTGAAATCGCGCAAGCCACCATCGTTGCTGACTCGCTAAAGAGCATAATCGACCACTCCCCCTTAGCCCTTGCTGCTTTGAGATACACTTCAACATGACAACCGGCCTCGGGAACTCGCAAACGAAGGCAGAGTGTGTAGGGACCGGTTTGGGATTGGGCCTCATGTTTCTTCCCCATGTGGTTTGGTTTCCAAGTTGCCTACATATGCATCACAAACCAAAGATCATACTTGATTGGATGCTGCTTTGGTAAAGGTCAGAGAACTAGGTCACGGCGGAGCAGCAAAAACTGGGCGTTGCTTGGCACCCGAGGTGGTGCTGCTCTCCCCATTGACGTACAATGGCGCAAAAATCTCTCTGCTTGCCATGCGGACGCAGCCTTACAGTAACCCGTTAGTAACCCGTTAGTTAGTTAGTAACCCGAGACGTCACTTTTTATTATTTTTAGTGTTACATTGTATAGTAGTGTTACAGATCTATTGAAAATATATAGTCGCCATTATTGCTAGTTGCAAATATTAAGCTAACTCAGGAAATATTAAGAATTGACTAAATTTAAAAATATTATAAAATTTAAAGAATTAAAACATAAAGAATTAAAAACATTCAGAAATTGTTCAGAATCATCATGAAAGAAACATTAAATGTTTGTTGAGTCATGGGCATATGCGGCTTGATTTTTTTACGTTACATGTTGGATCACTAATGACCCGAGGTATGTTGGAGTGCTAGTAGAATGAGCCATGCATTTAAAAGTTACGAATATCGGGATAAACAATAACATCAGGTTGTCAAACACTCCAGACAACCGTACATGGCACCAAGCATCGCACTTAATGTTTTTTGGCTGGAAAAAGTTATATCAAGGTAATCTGCTAAACAGTACGTATTAAAAGTTATATCCAGGTAATCTGCTAAACGGTAGGTTTTAAAAGTTGTTGATGGTGGTGCTGATGCCTTCTTATACCTTCGCATAACATCTGAGGAGTTAAAAAGATAGTAGCAATGTGTTTTTGTAACACCTGTTAAACACGGTTAACATATGTTCAGAAACATATGCTAGAAGGCTGAACTGAAAGCAAAATCTTTCTTGTTTTGTGTGTAGCCTAAACCTACTTCCCTGACAGAGGCGATAATCACTGGTGAGTCACTGTCAGATACAGAAACCAGGTTACGAGTCTGATATTGTCGATTACTGATAATATCGTCATATCACACAGGCCTAATACAGTTGGCCTCCAACTGTAACCAAGTGACTTACAAACAGCATTTTTCGCAAATAAATAGGTAACACCCACTTATTCTCTTGTGACTTAGTTAACCTTACAGTTCTGTACTCAAACCTGTCTTGCATATATTTAAAAAAATAGGTTGCTTATTGTAAGATCAATAGACTTGATTGTTTACTGCTTTTTACTTTAGATACTTAAATACTTCATTTTAAACCAGGTAGCTTTTACTTTTACTTGAGATTCATTTCACGAAATGACTTTTATTTGCATTTGAGTATCATTTTGGTGTGGTATATGTACTTTTACTCAAGTATTAAAATTTAGTTTTTTCCTGCCATGGCTTTATTGCCCACAGTGTATGTGTGAATATGTATAATCTATGGTCTGGATCCCATCCAGGGTGTCCCCTTCCCTGTACCATATGACGAACTGGGTCACATTCAGGGTGTCCCCTGCCCTGTGCTATATGACGGACTGGATCCCGTCCAGGGTGTCCCCTTCCCTGTACCATATGACGAACTGGATCCCATTCAGGGTGTCCCCTTCCCTGTACCATATGANTATGACGGACTGGATCCCGTCCAGGGTGTCCCCTTCCCTGTACCATATGACGAACTGGATCCCATTCAGGGTGTCCCCTTCCCTGTACCATATGATGAACTGGATCCCATTCAGGGTGTCCCCTGCCCTGTGCCATATGACGGACTGGGTCCCGTCCGAGGTGTCCCCTGCCTTATACCCTGTGATGCCTGAGAGAGATTTGCTTTTAATAATAATAATAATAATAATTGACACTTTTATTAATCCCCGTGGGGAAATTCTTTTTACGCCTCCCTCAACTTGCTCTTCGTAGAGCAAGCTGTCTGTGAAGGGCAGCCACCTGTAGCTGGGGGTTGAGAGTCTTGCTCAAGGACCCTCAGACGTGCTGAGGCTGGGCTTGAACCACGCTGCCCCTTATTATTAGCTAATATTTGTATCCAAAAGCAAAGGATCCTTTTCCCATGTATACAGCTGTATAATTAACCAGGTAAGTACAGATTAATCACCACTTTACAGGATCCCCATAAGCCCCCATAAACTGGGGGCTTGGAGCAAACAGGGCCACTGCAGAGTGGGGAATGGTGGGTGGGGGGGTGGGAGACAGTCTTCTACCTGAACAGGCCCAAGTGACACAAAGGAGACCCCCAAATTGTGATGGCTGTCCTGAGCTCGGATCTGCATCCCCGCCACCACTGCTCTGCCCGTCTAATGGACTCACTCTGGTGGTAAGTGCAGCCTGAGTGCAGCCGCAGCAAAATGGGCATCCTCCAGCAGAACGCTAACAGCTGCCGCAAATGGATCCAAGCCATGATTCGCATTCCCATTTTGGGAATTTAAAAAGGAGGTAATCACCCTCACTTCTCGTCTTCTGATGGCTCACAATATTATAAAAAGGCCAGAAAGGTTGTTAATGGCACAGAACACTCTTGTGAATCATCTGATCGATAATTTGTGTCCAGCCAAACAGGTCACACAAAGACATACATATAGACACTTGGCATGTTTTCCCAAGTGCAGTACAGAGAAGCTTCATGACTCCAACATCAGACAAAAAAATGATTCCTTCATAATCATTGATGAGTTCATTTTTTAATCACTCCCAACAAACTTCTAGAATAGTCTGTTTACCTAGCCGACGAGGGCCAGTCAGCTCTGCCCACCAGCCACCTGCCTCCCTCCCTGTGCCCCCCCAAAACATCCACTGATTTCCCTCTTTCTCCTTACATTTAAAGCGTGACTCTCCCTGCCTCCCTCTCTCCTGCAGCTGTTTCTAAGCCCCCCCCCCACACATTTCAGTGTGCCCATTCCAATGCCGCCCTCATTAGCCCCCTACCCACCCGCCAGAGCCCAGCTCCACAGCCGTCCTCATGTGAGTGTTTCATTCTGCTGGCTGTCACTGGCCTCCTCACCGTCCAAACCAGATGGCTGCTAGCTGGCAGTCCTCTCCC